GAAATAGAAAGGACAAAAAGGAAAAGTAAAATCTTCTGTTTTGCCTTAAAGTCAATATCTTAATTTAGCTTTGTCAATTTTTAGATGCAAGTCAGGCTCATTGTGTTAGTGGTATTTTTTTTAAAACTTACAATGCGATAGGTTTGATATACATAGTCAAACATATGTGAAATGTCCAGTGCTAGGACATTATCTATGAAGCAAAACGTTAATCTAAAGGAGTTATTTCAATGATGAAAGTCTTCTTGAAATCATATTCTGAATTTCAAGCAGCAAAAAAAAAAGAAATATGTTAGTCTTGTTTTTCTCTTCACAAGTAATAATGTGTTACTTTGCTAACTCTAAAGTTTCCGAAACCAAATACTTGGTTAAATTAGTCAATTATATGTTTTGCAAAAAGCAAGATAGAAAAGTTAATTAAACAATCAACAGTTAAGGACATCTCAAATTAGCATAATGAATGACCAAATATGCATCCTATCCATGAAATGGAAACCCCTCCCTTTAGTTCAAAGTTCTAATAACCTGTAAACCATCAAGTTTCATAACATACCTTTCTAATATAGTCTGTTTATAAATGAGAAATTATACAGAATCTAAGGTTCCAATTCTCTCAGGCAAAAGTGATCTTTGATGGATTTGATTATTTATTTTAGATTTGTTTTTGGTCATATACCACCTGTCGTGTTTCGATACTAATTCATCCTTGGCTTTTAGTGGTCTTGATGAAGTAAATCATGAAAAGCGTTTCAGACACATACATTTAATCAAATGTATTTGATTATACTAGACTAATGAGACCCCAAATTTAAAATGATCTTTTTATATTATTCTCTTTTATATATTACGTTGAAATATTTTGCACATAAATGTATGCACAACATTTGAAATTGGTTTTAAAACCTACACAAAGGAATGGAGTACACAAAAATCAGTCGTGTCATGTATTGTTTTAATATCAAACCTTTTCGTGTTTTTGTAGTATAAAGATACTGCTTCATTGGATCTATTGAAAAAACCAAAGAATCCAAACGATAAGGGTATTTAATAAATGTTTGTCATGCAAATGGGTTAAAGTTTTAACATATTACAAGTCTATTTTTGTGCATTGTATTTTGTTAACCCAAGTAACAATTTATTATGTTATTAAGTGTATAGGAATGGCCATTTTGTCAGGATGCCAAGAGAAATATTACTATTTGATCATAATACAAATCAGTTGTATAATTTTTTCATAAATTGTTGACATATTAGTCATTAATGAATGTAATCAATTGAAGAAGGAAGAAAAAAACATCAAAATACCCGATGTGATAATATCTAAATATTTGTAATGCAGGGGGTTAATTTTACGCTATAAATTAACATATTTTAATCAATCGTTTGATATAATAAGAGCTCTTTATTTTTTTAAAGCATATCAGAATAGTGGTGGTAAGCATTTGTAACAGTTTTTCTGCCTACATATTTTGTTTCGGATAAAAAAAGTTGCTTATCTCAGTATAACGAACAGTAAACGTGTTCTTAATCAACACAGTGTAGAAATAAGTTTTTTTAAAAATACCGACCTCAAAGGTAAATTAAAAAAGGGGGAAGTCCATAAAACCTAGCAAAATCGAACGCTCGTCTAAATCAACCAACGGAACAAGTAAAGAAAAATGCCATATTTCTGACATGGTACAGCCATTTTCTGAAGTAACTGGTGGGTTGAACCAGGTTTTTGTAGGTAGCTAGACCTCCAACTTTTAAGACAGTTGTTTAGGGTTTCGTTAATTAATTATTGAAAAAGTGGATGAGCAACCCAAATAGACATAATTGGCAAACAATAATTGGAATCCAGCAGCCAAAACTGGTTTTTGTTGTTGATATTACATACAGTATTGTATAACATAATTTCATAAACACTTTCCCAATAATAGGGATCCAGCAGCTAAAACTGCGAAAACTTACATCACAGAAATGCAAACACAAATAGCTTAAAGTTCAAACAAACATACAAATACATCTGACATAAACGCGTACAAAAAAGTTTTGTAGCTGATTTTATATTCCGACGAAAGTACATTTATTTTTGAAACTCAAATATATAGAATAGACAATACTGCACAGATAAGAAATCTTAATATAAATGATATTTTGGTAAGCATGTTGTTGCATAGACTACCTGTATATTGGAAAAGGGGTAAGAAAGTGCTTAGCACCTGAATAAATGCATGAGTTCAATGTTGAATTTTAGTGGTTTCTATTTTTCCTATTTGAATTAAATTTCTATGGTTTTTCAACCGCTATAGGATGTGAGATTGTATTATGTTTTCCGAATCCAAATATAACTGTAACCGCATGTACAGTTGCAAAATATATATTTCAGAGACAATCCATGTTAAGTACAATTTTCACTTTTTTTGGAAACTGAAAAGAAACACTATCAAAAGATTTTTGTTTTCATTTGGAACAAACGTTGATTTTTTTTATCAATTAATTTAAACATAGATAAATATTTCTGCTTTACATCTAACAATATTTATGGTCTTTCATACTGTCAATACCCATATTTTGGTATTGCATGAGATAATGTCCTTCTCTGATTATAAATTATTAAGTCTTTACACTAAACTATGTGTACTGTTTGATGATCTTATCTTGAAAACATGATATTAGTTGTTGTTGGCTTTGAACCTGCTCTCAATAACCGCGAGTATTTCTCGATCGGTTGGACGTATCCTTAGTCCTTTTGCTTTTTGTTTATAGAGTGCTTAGTGTTGATCTGATATGTCAAGAACTTTTAAATACTCTCATGTTATCATGTTGTGCTGCTAAACTCCTGTCCCAGGGATGGTTTGGCTTCAACACACATGTTGAATCCTGCCACATTAATTATGTATCTATCAAAAGTCAGCAGCCTGTAATTCAATGTTATCGTATGTTGCTGTTTATCATATTTGTGTTTTCGTTTATTTTGTTTAAATAAATCAGACAGTTAGTTTTCTCGTTTGAATTATTTGACATTTGTTATGTCGAGGCCTTTAATAACTTGCCGTGTGGTATGGGAATTTTTTGCTCATTGCTGCAAACTTCTACATTATTTTGTCTCTGGTGGAAAGTTCCCTCGTTGGCATTAATCATACCACATCCTCTTATTTTAATACTTTTATGTGTTTCCCCCGGTTTTGGTTTGTGACCCGGATTTGTGTCAGTTAAATCGATTTATGACTATTGAACAGCGGTATACTACTGTTGCCTTTATTTAGTCCTCTGTAAGAGAAGTCAAGTTCCTCAGTATATAAATTTATATCAGACCCAGATGATTAAAAAAACGGATGAATTAGCACTCGAATATTAACTTTCTACTTATAGTAGTATATATTTAGTGCAAGTAAATTAAACAATTGGAGTTTGATTTTTAGCTAAAAACATTTCTTTTTCACTGTTTAACATGTATAATATGTCTGAAAAGATTAATTCAGTGAATGGGGGGGAGGGGGTGATCATTGAATTTCCTTAAAATGGTCCAAATGTAACCTGTTGTACGGCAGAACATTTATCACTTTTTTATACTAGTATTTGTTCACCCAGTGGTGTACGAAACGTCCTGGATGGTTATGGAGGTCAAATACAAGCAAGGTGCAATACATATAATATCAAAATATTCATTTTGGTAAATACCAGGAGAAAAAGGTACGGAAGTCGCGGAAAAAACAACCATATCTAAATCAAGGCCTAGGAAACATAGAGTGCAAGCGTCGACAAACTAAATATTCAGGTCAGATATGTAAAATTTCATAACAAACATTATGTTAAAAGATTTTTTTTGTCGACGCATGCGCTCTATGTTTCCTGAAAAAAAATTCAATGGAAATTTACTCGTTTACATTGAAATTTCGTGGAAAATCAAGATGAGTGTTATTTGTGACGTCATACATAGAACGCAAGTACTTAAATTCTCAATAAAAGAGGTATTTCCTATCTTGCCATTGTATTAGCTATGATTCCTTGTGATATTGGTCAATAAATTAATGGCGGGTAGTATTTATGATACGTCGTAGTAAGAAAGAAGGAGGTTTTATAAGAGCTGTTATTTAGCGCCTGAATTGCAAAAAATAATAAAAATATTCAAGTGTTTCAAAATAATTATAATGTTATTGATAAATAAAGAAGTTGGTATACTAGTAATCTAAACGCTATAATTTGAAAGGTCGATATGATGTTATTAACATAGAAATTGTCAAAATTAACCAAGAATGACCGATTTACGCATAATTGTTTTTAGACATATTAAATGACTCACGGACTAACCAAAAAATGTATTTTACATATAAAATATCTTTTGAATAGATATCATGCTCATATTCATATGTATATATCAATGACATGATTGCAAAATGAGACATGATGAAGGTAAATCTAGAAAAGTGCTTCGGACGCATGAAATTATTAAACGTGTTGTTTTCAATTTTTTAATAGTTTTGACAGTTTACATGTTTTACGTTGTGTTATTGAAATTTGCTGTTACAAAATTTCGATATTTTTTTTTAGATTTAACGAGCTATCTCCCTCATACATAGCTCTAATGCCGTGCTTGTCTTTGGCTATACTTTTTGTAGTTTTTGGTTTAATTAGTTTTGATTGTCAAATTTAAGGGGAATAAAAACTAGCCTCATCGCATTTTCTTCTTTAGTAGTAATTGATTTTAAGAGTATACATAATTCTACCTTTATTTTGTTTTATCTTTAACGCATAATAAACTATTGAAATCAACATGTACTTAGCGTTTGAGATTCGCTGATTACTTTGTTTAGATTTGATTAAATGCCAGCTAAAACAAGTCGTTGATGTAGCATGCCATACTGTAAACACTTATTGTTCAAGAACAAAAATGTAACAAAGACATGATTAGCTTTTCTCTGGTCCGAAGAGAAGTTATATTGTTAAAAAAATATATTATGAAATATGATAAACGAAATCTGTTATAAAATAAACTAGTAATGTATAATAAGTACAGGTATAATGGTTTCATAGTCCAAGCTTAGGGATCTACAATTCAAAAACAGAATACACTACGCATAAATACATACATGTAAGTCTATTGAAGTACTTTAAAGATTTATATATAAAATATTTAAAATCATAATTCATTCTATAAATTTGATTTATTGGTAATTCATTCTTTATAAATCATGGAAAAATATTTCTTTGTATTACAAAAGTAACCAATGTTATGGCAAATAAGAAAACCTTGTACAGCTAACTTAGCGGAATTGAAACAATAGTTTCTTAAATAAATTTTAATATTTTCTAAATGTATCAACAGTAAATTTAAGAAGAGTAATAAATAAATTATGTCAGTACCGAATAACTGACTTTTCAGCTGATGATACCCTTGGGGACAGCCAATCAGCAGCGATACTGATCAAGTGCCAATGAACAAAACAAAATAAAAATACAAGAATTGTGTGCGTCTGACCTGCAATTGTATTAACCTCCATCAGGAGTATTATGAATTTAAAAGTCGAATTTAAACCTCTCAGCCAAATTTAAATTCCTACTTTAGTAAAAAACGATGCCCTTCAATTTAAATCGAGTGTATATAACCATTTCAGAATTTAATCTAATATAAAATACTGTTAAACACAACTGATTTTTTTAGGTCAACGCTTCTGTGACTTGAATTGTGTTGTGATACTAAGTATGTGTATTGTTTAGGAATGATGAAATCAACTGCTTTTATCGAGTAAAAAGGGAAAATATTTTCCTTTGAAAGACGTCGTGATTGCTTAATAGAAATATGGTTTATCTTGATTTAGGTGATGTGACCAAAAGTGTCTATCCGAACTTTAGTAATAGTAAGGCTAAAATGTAGAAAAGTATTATCCTACCACCGATGTAAACACTGGAAATTTTTATAAAGTCCATATTTGGGGAATTATACAGTTGACAGATGATAGTATATAACTAATTGAAAACTATTTCGGAGAGATAGTAATGCCCTTGCCTGCGAAGTGATGAAAAAAAGTCCCCCGAACGAAATACAGACTTAACTCGATTCTCTCGACTTTGTAGTTGCCTTGATTTGTATCTTCTTAATGTATTTATGTTTTTTTTTAACATCTGTTAAGTACAGTAACAATATCCCCTTGTTAAATATTTACATAATAGCTATTGAAAAACTGGTCATTATCGTGATATATGGACTGCCCAAACAGTGGTATTGACTAAGATAGCGATAATGACTGAAACGTAGGCGAGGTCATTATCGATTTCGCAGTCAATACCACTGTCCTACGGGCAATCCATGTATCTTCAATAACTATTATGTTTATTTCATTGAGGAACCATGTTTTAAAAATTCTTATAAATTCGAATTGTTCAAAGCAAACTCGAGTTATTGTACGATTTCTATTGGAGTGAAGACCAGTCAAAGTAATAACTGTAAGTCACTGCTGTTCATTTAAGTGCAATTTTTCAGTATAAGAATACAAAATAAAGTTTTCTATAATTTTATAATTAACGAATCGCGATTGCGTTTTATTAGAGGGACATCACTCTAAACAGAGAAACCACGCCCCACTGGTCATTAACATGTAAAAGTCCGTTAAAGACCAGTTTTCTGGTCCTTTTTTCTGTTAAAGACCGATGGATTTTTTTACTTAAGAATAAAGAATGTCATGTGGCTCCTTGTTATCCAATAAGAGAAGCTAATTCTTAACCGATATGAAATAAATATTATTTCGATATATTATTAAGAAAATAACAGCCTATGGGCTCTTCACTAGTAACCCCTTACTCAAAAGGGCAAATGGTCTGAAAAATTGCAAACCTGAACTTTAAATTCTTTATTTTACTGTTTTTATGTTTAATTGGCAAACTACAAAAATCTGAAAAAATATAAGATTTCTCAACGCGATTGATGAAATGATCAAATGATGGACATGAAACCATTTTAAAAACAAGATTGCAACAGAAAAGCTGTGTCAAACGCCTATATACTAAGGTTTTCGAGTTCTCTGAAATTTTCAAAGAGAATACTTTCCGTTGATTTTAAAATTCGTTTTCCCATTTGCTGATGTAATTTTTGACATATTTGTCATTTAATGTCGATAAATATATAGATGTAGAGGGCTAACAATGTTGATGTACAATATTACTACAGTTGAAAGGGGCATTACTCCCACAAAAAAATTTATTAACTCTAATCTTCGAACTAATCCAATATATTGCTGATGTATACGTAATTTTTCAACAACAAACCGTACCGTAAAGGGTGCTATAAATGGCCCAGGTACAACAATTGTGAAATAGTTCAAACGAGAAAATCGACAGCCTGTCAATTTTTCATAACATTTAGATTTCCAAGGGGGAAAATGTCCCCTTAAATAATTGATATAAATATTTGTAAAACCATTACACCCTAAAATATTATATGAATTCTTGTTCATTTCTTGATATTTATTTCTTTTCAAAAGGGCATTAGCCCGCCCAAAAGTAATAGCTCGGTTTAGATTTTCGAACTAATTGGAGATACTTAACGTAAATCTCATTCAACTTTAAGGAGAAATTTTAAAGGAGGGCGTTACAAAAGACTCGTTCCATATCACTATCTTATGAAGGAGTATACCTGCACAATAAAGCATCGAGTGGTCCTGATTTCGACACTCGTCCATGATATTGATAATGAAATAAATTAACCTGAATTTTATTTACAAATTACAAAAAAACATTTTGATTGAAAGAACTGACATTGTCGGAAGCATGGATATCAACATTTCAATATATATTCTGCTTCGCCTCGAGGCAACGCATAACAAAAGTCCTTTTTATTATAAAGACTAATTTTGAATGTCAGTCCTCTCATAAATTTTGCTATTTATGCTGTATTCTGCGATACAATCGTTCATGGTTAAATTGACTTTCATTTTTTTTTATTTATCAATACCCGACAAGATTTATAAATTGGCCGAGCTATATTATGCATGTCTGTTTGGTGAATAAATTGCCAGATTCTTAAAACTTTGGATGTTAAACTTCTACTTGAAGTACATTCAATAATGGAAATGGTCGCCTTTGAAAACCCAAAGCAAAGTTGTGCAGATAAATTTAGAAGCTTCCTATTTGAAATAAATATTTGATATTATTGGTTATATCATACTCCTGCCTGTAACTATATTTTAATCACAGTTAAATCTCAAATGCAGAATGATAAATCTACACTTGTTATCTCTTCAAACTTCAGCCGCTGACCAGAAATAAAGTCATTCTGCTCAGTAGAAAATTATTGAACGAACGGACGATACGACGGAATAACAAGTTGATTGCAATTATCTCATCAGTCTTTCAATGGGGGTAAAGAAGAGAACGACACACATATGAAATTAGAGACAACATTAGTTTCCCGATGTTCAAATCCCGTAAATTTATATTAAATATATTTAAAAACATCCTCATCAGAGATACTCAGCTTATAATTTTGTACGCCCGACGCACGTTTCGTTTTCAATTGATTCATCAGTAGCGCTCGATTCAGTTTTAAGGCAAAGATCAAATACGAAGTTGAAAAACATTAAAAACCAAAATCGTGTCAAACACATTTAAGGCTATTTATGCCGTTGGTAGAAATGCCTTAGATTTTCGAAAAGTTTAGCATTTTTCAAACAGAAAATGAATTCATGTCACTACAAAAGTGCTGACTACAGGACTGGTGGGATCCTCGGGGAAGAAACGTCCACCAGCAGTGGCATCGATCATGTTGTTATAAAAACGCATCAATTAAAGATACCAAGCTTTTCATTTGGTACGTCAGACGCTCATTTTGTATTCCTAAGACTCATCAGTGTCCCTCGAATTAAAACAGTTGTAAGGCAAAATGAGGGAATCACATCATCTTGAAAAAGGAGATAGACTGGATGCATATACAGGTTAAACGTCTGTTGCCATGCATGTATCATCTGCCCTTCGAATCCAGACTATGTCAAAAAGTAACGATATGGAGTAAATGGGACACAATAGGTTAAATAGATTAGGCATATTATTTGGTATCTAAAGAGTTATATTTAAGACCGTGAAAGCATATGTGTTGTCAGCAGGGACACAGACTCACCTTATCGGTAAACAAATTCATTTGTTTTTTTGTTGTTGACGGAAATGTGATGAAAGGAGTCGTTTCAATTGAAAACGGACTAAAACATTTTTTTTGCAGAAAATCAACATGATTTCTGAAACAGAAGAAAAAATTTATCAACTGAAGTCACTCTCAGCTCTTTCACAAAGTGTAGTCCGAAAATATATTAAAAAGGAATATTTGCCGCTTTATGATGGCAATCTTCAAACAGTTCTCAATCAGTACAAACACGACTTATTTCATCTTTGTTACAATGTGACTCCTTGCTGTGAATGTCCTCAAGAAAGACCACAGTTACATCGAGATCGCCAAATACATTATGAGCAATTCAAGAAACTTTATAAAGGCGACGGAATAAGCAAACATGAAATCGTCGAAACAACACAGAGAGGTACGACGTTTGTTAGTAGGCATTGTCTGTGCAAATTTAAAGCAAGTGCATCGCTAGATCTGTTAGATTTACCACTCATGTTTATTTTACTTGAACATTGCTTTGAGTTGAAAAACGATATTCATGTGAATAATTGGATAGCAACGTTAAGACAAGTCCGAAACTTTGTAAGCCATATTGGTAGCTTTAATGCTTATGATGTGTCAGAATTTGATACAAAAATTAAAGATATTGAATATGCAATGATCAAGTTAGCAAATCTGGTATCATCAACTGAGGGTGAATACAAGATGACTGTGAAAACAAAAATCGGAGAAATCAAGGTCCATCGAACAGAAGTAACTTATATTCCACAAGAGATAGAAAGGAATCAAAATGTGGTAAGATATGTGATTTTAATATGCAGTAAAATAATAATAAATTATTGCTACCTTGGGTGTTCGTCAATCAGGCAGCAAAAGTTTCTTGTTTTGTCAGTTCTTATATTTGTTTATGAGTCGGCCTTAATTGTGAATATTTTAAACTAAGTTCATAAGTGATACATGTTACCGTCCTAATAAACTGAAAACAAAGAAAACATTTCCTAAGAGTGTGTTTTCACAGTTGCAGAAAATCACTTTTCAACCATGAATGGGGATAATTACTGTCAAAAATAACAGATTAATAATTGATAACATGAAGTAATTTTGTGTAATCGTTTAATAACCAATTACAAACAGGATTTTTGTGTAATCGTTTTCATAATCGATTACTCTGTTTTTTGTATGTAATCGATTACTTAATCAAAATTAATAATATTACTTTTCAATTATTGTCAATTATATGCTTCAAAAAAGCAAAGATGATGACACAAATTTGGAAATATGGATTCAATAAGAGAAAGTGGCGATAAAGCTGTTGCAATGACATGGACCAATGCATCCAGAGGCGCTTCCAAAAAAATGTCGCCAGGTTTACGTGACACTACCTTGAGGTTGACAAAAATGGTGTGCCATATAGAGTACATTTAAAAATGATTAAATTTAACAATTAGTCTATCATCGATAATAAACAATACAACAGATTTACCTTAAAGCAGAAATACATGTACATTGACATTTGAATAAGCAGATTGTTTTTTGTTCAATCATTAATGAAAGTGAAATAGTGAAATAATAATTCGCTTTAAGCAGCCAGTTTGCTTCAATTATGTCAAAATAAGCTAAGAAATAACGCTGCAAGTGCATAATTCGACCTCATTGAACCGTATTCATGTGACCTTCAATTCAACCCCTTAGCTAGAGATGAGTTGCGCATAAATTAGGTGTGTTCAGCTATCAAAAAGAAAAGAGTGTCAACATTGAAAGTGAAATAAGGGTAAACCATTTGGTTGACTGATTCGATCCACAAGAACTCATTCTTATATATACATGTAAAAACGATGATTAATATATATATATATATATATTTAACCTATAATATTAAATCAAACAGACTTGAAAAATCCAATTGCACGTGTTCGCTTTCTATTTATATCTATTTTTATGTTTGTGTCGGGTAATATGACCGTTGGCAGTCTTCGGAGGTCACCTCGATGGTTAATTAGATGGCGTCTAGACTAAAATACACACGAAATGTTGATACATATCATCGAGTCCATGCATCGTAAATTGTTTATTTTAGACTTTTTTTATAATTTGGATTTACGTTTTATTCATGATGTTATAAATCAAATTTGAGTCAAATCTTTCATCAGGAATTTGACAGGTAATGCCCTTTAAAAAAAGTAATTTATCAAATCAATATGTCTTTGCTCGTTTAAATTTTATCGATTGCAGTACAATAACACTTTCAGATCGTCAACAAAAGGTAGTTTCAGAAGGCTTATCATCAACTCTTAAAAGTATACATGCAGGAGTCCCCCAGGATCAGTTTTGGGACCCTTTCTGTTTCTCATTTATATAAATGATATAGAAAATGACATTGTTAATGATATTAGACTTTTTGCAGATGACACCTCTTTATTTGTTATAGTAGATGATGATCATGCTGTAGTAGCTGCTTCTTTGACTGATGACTTAGATGTTATCTCAAATTGGGCAAAATCATGGGCTGTTCAATTTAATTCATAGAAAACTAAAAATATTGTATTTACTAGAGGGGAAAGGGAGCATCCACCTGTATATTTTGCGATAAATGGCGAAGAGGTTGAGAAAATAAATATTCACTGTCATCTTGGGATAACATTTTAGTCATCAGCTTCATGGAACACATACATTGATATTATTTATAAAAAAGCATGCTCTCGTCTATCTGTGCTTCGTCAAGTTCAACATTTAATAGATAGGAGTTCAATTATACGTATTTATTATGCTTTTATTAGACCTAAATTAGAGTATGGTGATGTTGTTTGGGGCAATTGCTCCCAGCACGAGTCTGAGCTTCTAGAAAGTACTCAAATAGAAGCTGCTAGAATTATTACAGGACTACGGAGTAATTCCTCAAGACAAAAACTTTATATTGAATTAGGATTAGAAACTTTGGAGAATAGACAAAATAAACATAAGCTTATACTATTCTATAAAATATTAAATGGGATGACACCTGCATACTTATATGAGTTAGTCCAGCCATATCTTCCCAGACAAACCCCTTATACTTTGAGGAATGAAATTAACACTTTTCACCCGCCTCTTGCTAGAACTAGCTCTTGTTTTAATAGTTTCATTCCTTCCACTATAAGACTTTGGAATAGTCTTCCTCTGAGTTTACAAAAATCCCCAAGTTTGTGTATATTTAGAAGTGGACTGGACAAGTTTTCTAGGACTGATGAAATACTTAAACCTTTCAACTATGGGATAAGGAGACTTAATATAAGTCATTGTCAACTCAGAAATAATGCCAGCAACCTAAAATCACATTTGTGTAATCAGTTCTTATCAGAGAACACTTTTTGTGCAAACTGTAATGACCCTGTTGAGGATAACCAACATTTCTTTTTTATTTGCCCTAAGTACAATGATGTAAGACAGATCCTACTTGATTCCATTTACTCCATTGTTGATAATGTTGACATAAATATTAAATTATTACTTTTTGGAAACAGATTATTACACTTAAGACAGATCCTACTTGATTCCATTTACTCCATTGTTGATAATGTTGACATAAATATTAAATTATTACTTTTTGGAAACAGATTATTTTCATATGATATGAATATTGCTATTTTTAAATCTGTTCAGAAATATATCAGTGACACTCAACGTTTTGTTTGAAATTTTCTTAATTTTTGTTTTATTTAGTGTTATTTTTTTTTTCTCCACTTCAACATTAATTCATTAATTCCACTAAGCTAGCTTAGTGTCTCTTCCAAACCATATATATATATATATATATATATTTCTAATGACATATAAAGGATATTTACATGTTTCAAGGTACATGAATAAATGATGAGTAGTTGCCTATATACTTAAATATACTTTACATTTAGTATTTAACACTGTAAACATATATTTGCGTATGTGTGCTCATAAGTAGCATGCATGTTCCACTATATTATATTATTCTAAATACAGTTGTTGATATTTGATTTATACCTTGTAAAATGTAAAATGGAGAGAGCTTTTATAGGCTGTGCCTGTTGCTCAATCCTTTTCATATCTTAATGAATAAAATATGTTTAAAATCAAAATAACACTTAATTTGTAAATTGTATATGATTACATTAGATTACTTGTCTTTAAAGTAATCATGATAACTTTTGATTACTTATGATTTACATTGTCTACTGCGATATCAAACACATGTTTTCAACATTGTATCCTCACTTGATAAAGTTGATTTAATATAAAAAAAATGTGCTTTAATATTTATAATACATACGTGTTATTAAGAATTTCAGCCATAAGCAGTGTAAAATTTGTATTGTTAGATAGCATAGACTAGTGTAATTTCTATGTCAAAACAATACGTGTAATTTCTATGTCAAAACAATAACTGTTTTATTAATATTTCCTCCCTGTGTATATTTTCAATCAACAAAAAGAACTAAACAAATAGTGGTTTATAATAGGCGAGTGACATTTTACAAAAATACGCTTATTTAACGACTTTAATGGACCCACCTAATATACGGCTATATTGTATATCATTCGAAAGCTTATTGCCTGTACTTTCTATTTTGCCTGGTCGTCAATAGATCGTACGGTGCAATTTTCGTTAAATCAAGGTTAAAGGTCAAATATGAATATTCCAAAATTTTGCTAGAATTAAACAAAATGCCCTTTTCTGGTACCTGTATGATATTTTTCATCTAAACATTGTCTGAATCTTATAAAACAAAATACCATAATTCCAAATCAAATGCAAACTAAAATGTTAATTGCGCAATATTTACATAAAATTGCATTTCTTAAAAAAAACTTCCAAAAAGGATAAAATTGCACTCAAAGCTAAATAATTCTTCAGGTATCAATATCTATATGTCAAAAATATAACTAATTTATCGTTTATAGGCCGATAGAATTTTTGCATCATTGTAAACTTAATTAATATGATATAGATAGATATAAGAAGATGTGGTATGAGTGCCAATGAGACAACTCTCCATCCAAGTCAAAATTTATAAAAGTAAACCATTATAGGTCACAGTACGGTCTTCAACACGGAGCCTTGGCTCACACCGAACAGTAAGCTATAAAGGGCCCCCAAAAATTACTAGTGTAAAACCATTCAAACGGGAAAACCAACGGTCTAATCTATATAAAAAACGAGAAACGAGAAACACTTATGAACCACATCAATAAACGACAACTACTGAACATCAGATTCCTGACTTAGGACAGGTGCAAACAAATGCAGCGGGTTTAAACGTTTTAATGGTACCAAACCTTCACCCTTTTTCCGAAACAATAGTGTAACATCACAACATAGAAAGACACACTATAAAATATCAACTGAAATAGCTTAACTCAATCAAAGGACATATTAACACCATTGAACATACACTGAACAAATAAATTTTACCTATGACACAATGTAAATAGAAAATAAATAAACTAAGGGAAGAATAATAAAAGTAACATGTTATATCGGTAAGAAATGTTAAACAATTAAAGAAAAACAATATGCTCGAACAAAAATATCAGCCATTTGCACTAACTTTAAACACAGGTAAATGAAAATAGTTTTTTTGTTAGGTATACGTGTATAGTACCAATGGAGAAAGGAAATATTTTTACAAAATAAATAATTTTTGAAGTTAATAGTACGAAGTGAAAATTTATAGTTATACCGAACACTTATCAAAGCTGGTATATAGACCAGATATAACCCTGAATAACATTAAATAACAAAAAAGCAATACAATTAGTATCAACAGGTCAAATAAACAAGAAAGTACGATTTGAGAGTACTCGCAGTTACTGACAGCTTGTTAAAAGCCAAAAAAAAATAATAATAAAAAATCATGCATCAGAGACTAAAATCAACTAAAACACATCCCAGGGATTTAGTATTTTAACGTCATGGACAGTCAAAGAAGACATGACTAGTGCAATGCCAAAAATAAATGCATCGACAGACAGTAGGATAGTTAGGAGTTTAACCTCTTTATAGATCTAAACGAACGTGGGTGTGTCTTTATACATCCCGCTTGAAAAAAATACACAAATTTAGTTATGTTTTAATTTGCTGATGACAAAATCGATATTAGTGCCAATGTAAACTATATTCAAAGATCTAATTACAACATTGGTAAGATAACCTTTACTAATAAGTTTGTTTAAAGGTTCGATGAGTTTACACGGATCACATAGTGATTTCCGCGCTTTAAGTACAATATTACCGTAAAATTTAGGATGTGAAATACCGTTTTTAATCAGTTTTCTACAAGTACAGCCAAAATCTTTGTATCTATGAAAGAACTTAGCAAAAGTTTTACGTAATTTATGGTAACGAAATCCTTGATTTAATAATTTACCAGTGATGCATTGATTACGTTCGTTAAAATCTATGACATCACTACACACACGGGCATAACGAACGAGTTGGGATATATAATCACCGTATGATGGAGCAAAAGGAACATCGCCGTCTAAAAAAGGAAAATTAACAATAGGGAATGAAAAATCGTCTCTTTTGTCGTAAATTTTCGTATTGAGTTTTCCTTTAGAGATTGAAATGTCCAAATCCAGAAAAGGACAACTACTGCTGTTTATGTTAGATTTAGTTAAAGTAAGTTCTATTGGGTAAATTTCGGTAGTATATTTAGAGAACTCTGGATTATTTAACGAAAAAATATCATTTAGATAACGGAAGGTATTGTTGAATATATCAACCAAATGTAACAATGACGTGTCTTTACTGAGTTTGGTCATAAACTGAGATTCTTAGCAATACAGGTATACATCTGCTATTAAAGGGGCACAGTTAGTGCCCATAGGAATACCTACTACTTGTCGATACACTCTATCGCCGAAACGTACATATATGTAGTCCAGGAGAAAATTTAAAGCTTCAATCATATCTTCACATTTCCAGTAAGTGTATCTAGCATACTTTCCTTTTTCGTTACAGAAAAAGGCTTTAAACGAGTTACAGCAAATAAATTTGTAATGAGATTTTTCAAAAGACCATTTAATTAAATATGAAAACTTTTTCTTGATAAGATTGTGTGGAAGTGTAGTATAGAGAGTAGAAAAATCATAACTGTCAACAGAATTAAAAGGACCATCAAAAGCATGTATTTTATCTAAAACCTCTTAAGAATTTTTAACACTCCAAAAATAATTAATACCATTATTTTCATAAGCTTTATTACAAAAGTTAATAACAAGTTCTTTGATACGCACTGATAGATTAGTAGTAGAACACTTACTAGATGCGGAGATGAAACGGAATTTAAATGGTTTTTTGTGCAATTTAGGTAACCAGTACATAGTAGGGACTTTCAAATGTTCGGTAGAGGCTTTAAGCTGGGTAGTGGCAGTGATATGCTTGTTTATAATTTGACACTCTGTGGAGCGTACGGACCTGAATGTAGATGAATTTGTAATTTCGTTTTGGAGAACTTCCGTGTAGTATATGCGTCACACCACCACTACATTATTTGCTGCTTTGTCTGCCGGTACGTACACAAACCGCTTAGCGAGTACTTGGAGTTGATTTTTTATTCTGGAAATGGGAATATCATGGATATATAGGTCTAGATGCAGCCTTCTAATGATACTCAGCTTATAATTTTGTACGCCCGACGCACGTTTCGTTTTCAATTGATTCATCAGTAGCGCTCGATTCAGTTTTAAGGCAAAGATCAAATACGAAGTTGAAAAACATTAAAAACCAAAATCGTGTCAAACACATTTAAGGCTATTTATGCCGTTGGTAGAAATGCCTTAGATTTAAGAAAAGTTTAGCATTTTTTAAACAGAAAATGAATTCATGTCACTACAAAAGTGCTGACTACAAGACTGGTGGGATCCTCGGGGAAGAAACGTCCACCAGCAGTGGCATCGATCATGTTGTTATAAAAACGCATCAATTAAAGATACCAAGCTTTTCATTTGGTACGTCAGACGCTCATTTTGTATTCCTAAGACTCATCAGTGGCCCTCGAATTAAAACAGTTGTAAGACAAAATGAGGGAATCACATCATCTTGAAAAAGGAGATAGACTGGATGCATATACAGGTTAAACGTCTGTTGCCATGCATGTAGCATCTGCCCTTTGAATCCAGACTCTGTCAAAAAGTAACGATATGGAGTAAATTGGAAACAATAGGTTAAATAGATTAGGCATGTTATTTGGTATCTAAAGAGTTATATGTAAGACCGTGAAAACATATGTGTTGTCAGCAAGGACACAGACTCACCTTATCGGTAAACAAATTCATTTGTTTTTTTGTTGTTGACGGAAATGTGATGAAAGGAGTCGTTTCAATTGAAAACGGACTAAAACATTTTTTTTGCAGAAAATCAACATGATTTCTGAAACAGAAGAAAAAATTTATCAACTGAAGTCACTCTCAGCTCTTTCACAAAGTGTAGTCCGAAAATATATTAAAAAGGAATATTTGCCGCTTTATGATGGCAATCTTCAAACAGTTCTCAATCAGTACAAACACGACTTATTTCATCTTTGTTACAATGTGACTCCTTGCTGTGAATGTCCTCAAGAAAGACCACAGTTACATCGAGATCGCCAAATACATTATGAGCAATTCAAGAAACTTTATAAAGGCGATGGAATAAGCAAACATGAAATCGTCGAAACAACACAGAGAGGTACGACGTTTGTTAGTAGGCATTGTCTGTGCAAATTTAAAGCAAATGCATCGCTAGATCTGTTAGATTTACCACTCATGATTATTTTACTTGAACATTGCTTTGAGTTGAAAAACGATATTCATGTGAATAATTGGATAGCAACGTTAAGACAAGTCCGAAACTTTGTAAGCCATATTGGTAGCTTTAATGCTTATGATGTGTCAGAAATTGATACAAAAATTAAAGATATTGAATATGCAATGATCAAGTTAGCAAATCTGGTATCATCAACTGCGGGTGAATACAAGATGACTGTGAAAAGAAAAATCGGAGAAATCAAGGTCCATCGAACAGAAGTAACTTATATTCCACAAGAAATAGAAAGGAATCAAAATGTGGTAAGATATGTGATTTTAATATGCAGTAAAATAATAATAAATTATTGCTACATTTGGTGTTCGTCAATCAGGCAGCAAAAGTTTCTTGTTTTGTCAGTTCTTATATTTGTTTATGAGTCGGCCTTAATTGTGAATATTTTAAACTAAGTTCATAAGTGATACGTGTTACCGTCCTAATAAACTGAAAACAAAGAAAACATTTCCTAAGAGTGTGTTTTCACAGTTGCAGAAAATCACTTTTCAACCATGAATGGGGATAATTACTGTCAAAAATAGCAGATTCATAATTGATAACATGAAGTAATTTTGTGTAATCGTTTAATAACCAATTACAAACAGGATTTTTGTGTAATCGTTTTCATAATCGATTACTCTGTTTTTTGTATGTAATCGATTACTTAATCAAAATTAATAATATTACTTTTCAATTATTGTCAATTATATGCTTCAAAAAGCAAAGATGATGACACAAATTTGGAAATATGGATTCAATAAGAGAAAGTGGCGATAAAGCTGTTGCAATGACATGGACCAATGCATCCAGAGGCGCTTCCAAAAAAATGTCACCAGGTTTACGTGACACTACCTTGAGGTTGACAAAAATGGTGTGCCATATAGAGTACATTTAAAAATGATTAAATTTAACAATTAGTCTATCATCGATAATAAACAATACAACAGTTTTACCTTCAAGCCGAAATACATGTACCTTGACATTTGAATGAGCAGATTGTTTTTTTGTTCAATCATTAATGAAAGTGAAATAGTGAAATAATAGTTCGCTTTAAGCAGCAAGTTTGCTTCAATTATGTCAAAATAAGCTAAGAAATAACGCTGCAAGTGCATAATTCGACCTCATTGAACCGTATTCATGTGACCCTCAATTCAACCCCTTAGCTAGAGATGAGTTGCGCATAAATTAGGTGTGTTCAGCTATCAAAAAGAAAAGAGTGTCAACATTGAAAGTGAAATAAGGGTAAACCATTTGGTTGACTGATTCGATCCACAAGAACTCATTCTTATATATACATGTAAAAACGATGATTAATATATATATATATATATTTAACCTATAATATGAAATCAAACAGACTTGAAAAATCCAATTGCACGTGTTCTTTTTCTATTTATATCTATATTTATGTTTGTGTCGGGTTATATGACCGTTGGCAGTCTTCGGAGGTCAATTCGATGGTTAATTAGATGGCGTCTAGACTAAAATACACACGAAATGTTGATACATATCATCGAGTCCATGCATCGTAAATTGTTTATTTAAGACTTTTTTTATAATTTGGATTTACGTTTTATTCATGATGTTATAAATCAAATTTGAGTCAAATCTTTCAACATGAATTTGACAGATAATGCCCTTTAAAAAAAGTATTTTATCAAATCAATATGTCTTTGCTCATTTAAATTTTATCTATTACAGTACAATAACACTTTCAGATCGTCAACAAAAGGTAGTTTCAGACGGCTTATCATCAACTCTTAAAGGTATACATGCAGGAGTCCCCCAGGGATCAGTTTTGGGACCCTTTCTGTTTCTCATTTATATAAATGATATAGTAAATGACATTGTTAATGATATTAGACTTTTTGCAGATGACACCTCTTTATTTGTTATAGAAGATGTTGATCATGATGTAGCAGCTGCTTCTTTGACTGATGACTTAGATGTTATCTCAAATTGGACAAAATCATGGGCTGTTCAATTTAATTCAAAGAAAACTAAAAATATTGTATTTACTAGAGGGGAAAGGGAGCATCCACCTGTATATTTTGGGATAAATGGCGAAGAGGTTGAGAAAATAAATATTCACTGTCATCTTGGGATAACATTTTAGTCATCAGCTTCATGGAACACACACATTGATATTATTTATAAAAAAGCATGCTCTCGTCTATCTGTGCTTCGTCAAGTTAAACATTTAATAGATAGGAGTTCAATTATACGTATTTATTATGCTTTTATTAGACCTATATTAGAGTATGGTGATGTTGTTTGGGGCAATTGCTCCCAGCACGAGTCTGAGCTTCTAGAAAGTACTCAAATAGAAGCTGCTAGAATTATTACAGGACTACGGCGTAATTCCTCCAGACAAAAACTTTATATTGAATTAGGATTAGAAACTTTGGAGAATAGACAAAATAAACATAAGCTTATACTATTCTATAAAATATTAAATGGGATGACACCTGCATACTTATATGAGTTAGTCCAGCCATATCTTCCCAGACAAACCACTTATACTTTGAGGAATGAAAATAACACTTTTCACCCGTCTCTTGCTAGAACTAGCTCTTGTTTTAATAGTTTCATTCCTTCCACTATAAGACTTTGGAATAGTCTTCCTCTGAGTTTACAAAAATCCCCAAGTTTGTGTATATTTAGAAGTGGACTGGACAAGTTTTCTAGGACTGATGAAATACTTAAACCTTTCAACTATGGGATAAGGAGACTTAATATAAGTCATTGTCAACTCAGAAATAATGCCAGCAACCTAAAATCACATTTGTGTTATCAGTTCTTATCAGAGAACACTTTTTGTGCAAACTATAATGACCCTGTTGAGGATAACCAACATTTCTTTTTTATTTGCCCTAAGTACAATGATGTAAGACAGATCCTACTTGATTCCATTTACTCCATTGTTGATAATGTTGACATAATATTAAATTATTACTTTTTGGAAACAGATTATTACACTTAAGACAGATCCTACTTGATTCCATTTACTCCATTGTTGATAATGTTGACATAAATATTAAATTATTACTTTTTGGAAACAGATTATTTTCATATGATATGAATATTGCTATTTTTAATTCTATTCAGAAATATATCAGTGACACTCAACGTTTTGTTTGAAATTTTCTTAATTTTTGTTTTATTTAATGTTATTTTTTTTTCTCCACTTCAACATTAATTAATTCCACTAAGCTAGCTTAGTGTCTCTTCCAAACCATATATATATATATATATATATATATATATATATTTCTAATGACATATAAAGGGTATTTACATGTTTCAAGGTACATGAATAAATGATGAGTAGTTGCCTATATACTTAAATATACTTTACATTTAGTATTTAACACTGTAAACATATATTTGCGTATGTGTGCTCATAAGTAGCATGCATGTTCTACTATATTATATTATTCTAAATACAGTTGTTGATATTTGATTGATACCTTGTACATGTAATATGGAGAGAGCTTTTATAGGCTGTGCCTGTTGCTCAATCCTTTTCATATCTTAATGAATAAAATATGTTTAAAATCAAAATAACACTTAATTTGTAAATTGTATATGATTACATTAAATTACTTGTCTTTAAAGTAATCATGATAACTTTTGATTACTTATGATTTACATTGTCTACTGCGATATCAAACACATGTTTTCAACATTGTATTCTCACATGATAAAGTTGATTTAATATAAAAAAAAATGTGCTTTAATATTTATAATATATACGTGTTATTAAGAATTTCAACCATGAGCAGTGTAAAATTTGTATTGTTAGATAGCATAGACTAGTGTAATTTCTATGTCAAAACAATACGTGAAATTTCTATGTCAAACAATAACTGTTTTAATAATATTTCCTCCCTGTGTATATTTTCAATCAACAAAAAGAACTAAACAAATAGCGGTTTATAATAGGCGAGTGACATTTTACAAAAATACGCTTAGTTAACGACTGTAAAGCACCCACCTTAAATAAGGCTATATTGTATATCATTCGAAAGCTTATTACCTGTATTTTCTATTTTGCCTGGTCGTCAATAGATCGTACGGTGCAATTTTCGTTAAATCAAGGTTAAAGGTCAAATATGAATATTCATATATTTTGCTAGATTAAACAAAATGCCCTTTTCTGGTACCTGTATGATATTTTTCATCTAAACATTGTCTGAATCTTATAAAACAAAATACCATAATTCCAAATCAAATGCAAACTAAAATGTTAATTGCGCAATATTTACATAAAATTGCATTTCTTAAAAAAAACTTCCAAAAATGATAAAATTGCACTCAAAGCTAAATATTTCTTCAGGTATCAATATCTATATGTCAAAAATATAACTAATTTATCGTTTATAGTCCGAGAGAATTTTTGCGTCATTGTAAACTTAATTAATATGATATAGGTCTAGATGCAGCCTTCTAATGAAACTTTTCAGTTGCCCTATAAAAACACCATCCTCAAATATGGATCATTTGGCTTTTCTTTGGCTAGATAATATAGTAAATATCGGAAGAAAATGATTAACCATATTTGAATAGGTGTAATGAAAGAGCTTTCATGAATAAACAAGGTATATATAGTAAAAATGTGTTTCCGATGTCGAAAGACGAAGTTTATTCTCGGTCAATATTCAAACGAATACTGTTCGCACAATGCGCCTTTTCAATCACAAATCCGGCTGATTCTTTTAAATGTTAGCTCATTATTACATATGTTATTAGTAGTTTTACTAAATATGACAGAAAATTAATATTGTGGAAGATTGAATTTATTCTTACTGAGCAAATGCATTTACCACAGGTGTAATGTTGTGTTCGCACATTTCGGTATAGTGTTTTAAAGAGTGTAGTTTGTTTGTCCGACTTTTTTGCTTTGTTCATGTGTTATCTGTTTTTTGAAATTGAAAACCAGCTAGATCAGATATCGATGTAAGATATAAACCTTGTGTCCCCACGTCGGATTGTCTTTAAAGTGCACTTATGGAGATTGTACATGAAGGGATTTTGTTCATGATAAAAAAAATAGTTAAATAATAAGCAAATCAAATATACCATTACATCTCATAATCTTATCTTAACACATGACATGACAAATGATCTACTAAGAAGTAAATTGACAAAAATACCGTACTTCAAGGGAAATTCAGAACTGAAAGTCCTTTATAAAATGGCAAAATTAAAAGCTCAAACACATAAAACGGAAATGGAAAGCAACTGCCATATTTCTTACTTGATACTACGTTTTCTTGCGTATAAAATGGTGCATTAAACCTGGCTTTATAACCAGCAAAATCTATCACTTGTATGAAACGGCGCTCTTGTTTTCTGATATCTTAAATGAGAATATTATGTGGTACAGTTACAATTAGATTTAAATGCTAAACCATAGGCAATTGAATTTAGAATAAAATTGGTTTAAATGCATATCTATATATCAGTTTTTATTAAGAAAATTTACTTGCAACATGTAGTTGTAGTAATTTACAACATCTACATCAAAACTGCTTTGTTTGATTAGAGGTTGCCTACTTTAACAAAAGGCCATTGATGATGATTGGTTGACACCTACACAGTAATTTCGTCATTCATAATAATAAATATAATTGAAGTATAATTGACGGGGATTATCAGCTATCTGCTGAAGGCCTCTCAGAGCTCTCCGGCTTCCGCCTCTAATAATTACTGATCGCTACAAAATACTGTGTAATTATGATGAAGATACATGATGTCTGGAGTTGGCATGTCAGTAAAACTGCTGTAGTCCTTTGTTAATTTGTGTATCACCGTCATTTTGCTAATTTCATCATTTACCTATTCTGACATCGGACTCGGACTTCTTTTTAACTGACTTTTACTGTGCGTATTGATGTGTGTTTGTTTAGTCTTCATTTGCAAGAGATAAAGAGGATGGTTGAGATCTCGCAAAACATGTTTTACCCCTCCGGATTTTTGCGCCTGTCCTAAGTCAGGAGCCTCTGGCCTTTGTTAATCTTAATATTTAATTTTAGTTCATTTATATGTTTTGGAGTTTAGTGTGGCGTCCGTTTTCACTCAACTAGTACACGTTTTTGTTTAGGGGCCAGCTAAAGCCTGATTCCGGGTACATGATTTGTTTGCTGTGTTGGAGACCCATTGGTGGCCTTGGTCTATTTTCTGCTTTTTTGTCGGGTTGTTGTCTCGTTAACACATTCCCCATTTCCATTCTTAATCTGAGTTAAAGGCCAGTAGTGCCAAAAGTGGCGTTAAACAATCAATCTTTCATCTTTACACTACAGTGTAATATTTTAACTACTAGTACTCAGGAAGTGAAAGTGCACTTATAGTGAACTGCTAGAATTTTCAAATAAAAAAATAGATTTGCAGTATGTGTCAATTTACATGTATTTCAAGAAATTAATTAGCTTTAAAAAAAGATTGGTACATACAAATTTTGTTAACATAGAAGGTGTAATACCACCAAATCATAGTACGTCACATCCGGTTGCATACGAAAATAGGTCGAAAAAAAATATTCCCTTGAATTTGACAGTTGTAGGTAATTGATCCTACATTTCATTGCAGTAAAACATTTCTGGGTCATAAACATATATCTTGGGTATTTCAAAGCACCATTATTTTTTTATTTGGGGTTTCTATAGAATATTTTGGAAACTTGAGGTTACATGGTTACTAAAGCTTGTACACAGGTTAAAAAAGGGGGAAAATTTGATTGGTTAACTTTCAGTGATGGTTATTTACTTATATGCAATGAAATGTTATGTGAAATTTTTTCTATAGTACTGGACAGGATAAAACTTTACTCATGCCAAGTATTTCTTTATTTGAAACAAAGATAAATTCTGCAAATTTAACAAAGACTAATAGGGGAAAATCAATGGTGGTATTACACCTAATACAGCAAAAAAGCTATCTTTTTGCAGATGATGGTATTTTGGGCAACTGCACGAGTTAATATAATTGGCTGTTTAATTATCATGAAAGGTAATTGTAGTAATTTGATGATGTCAAAAACTTCCTAAGCACTAAATAGAATATGTTATTTGGTTCTATGGTGAATTACACATGATAACAGACAAAGATTTTGGTTTCAACGCAATTTTATCATTTTTACTGGAATGTCTGGAAAACGGCGCTATTTATTAAAAATCCGTCACTAATATTTTAAAGTGCGCTTGATAAGTGACTGGTAACATCTGTTATAACAGATTTTCATATTGCCATACAAAATATTATTGTTCAGAAGACAGAGTATGCAAAAATGCTGACATCTTGTAAAATTAGAAAGTATGCGACCTTGACCTTTTATCGTGATTTCACGGAAATTGCACGGTACGAATATTTGACGACCGGGCAAAAAAGATAGGGCAGATGATATGCTTTCGAATGTTATGTCATTAAACCGTATGTTAGGTGGGTGCATTAAAAATAAGATTTTATAGTTAATGTCACTCGTCTATAAGTGATTAAGTTCCTTTTTAGTCTGTAGGGGGCATATTTGACATTAACATATGTTTTCTAAAGGTGTAAAACTGTTAATTAATACTTTAAATTTTATGACGAACAATAGGTGATAATGGATAATATAAAACCATTGCTTTAATCGCAATTAACAATTACGTTTTACGCATTTTAATTTCATTATGTACCTGTGTGTCTGAAGGTTGCAATATTTAATAATTCAATTTTAATGGATAACGAAGTTTAAATAAAATTTGAAAAAAACATTGTTCTAAATTCTTTTATTATTGAAGTGGCTCATTTATGCATGTTGATCATCAAAGTCGAAATTAGAATCAATCCCTTTTACTAATGTTCTATGCAGTTGAATGTCTATGAAGTTATAACAAACATTTGTGTAACTAAAAATAAATCCAGTATCTAAACAGAATTATAAGGGAACACTAAATGTTTTGTAACAGATATATCACAATTATCATATACAAAATTTTTAATTAGCAGGTAATCATATAAATATAATCGAAAAGTTATCTCAAAATAAATTTATCATGATTACACCTGTTGTTTTGCATTGTAATCGATTAAACTACGATTACTTTTAATTAGAGAATGCATGATTACTGATTACATGTTATTACATTGCAAATATGTAATGGATTACAGTTGATTACGATTACTGATCAGCATACGTTGAGTATATGGCTAGATTGTAAACAAGTCCTGGCATAATACATACACGAAATACAAGACTCTAACATAGAGATGACAGATAGCGATACCGACATTTACAAAGTCAGAATGTCTTAGATTATATCTTCAATTCAGTTTTACAAATTTCATATCATTCTCTTATCAATTGTTTAAATATGAGGATGGAATAGAGA